TAGCATCCTCTGCATTACCAAGGGTGCCTAACGCCACACTTGAAATGTATAGAAGAAAGAGATGATGAGGACATTCATGATGACGATGATAAAGATAATGACTATGATGACAATCATCATGAAGATGCTAAGGATGATGACTGTTATGATAACTATCATCGTAGCATCCTCTGCATTACCAGAGCTGCGGATGACGGTTATGATAACTATCATCGTAGCATCCTCTGCATTACCAAGAGTGCCTAACGCCACATTTGAGATGTATAGAAGAAAGAGATAATGAGGACAATCATGATGACGATGATGACGGTGATGACTATGATGACAATCATCATGAAGATGATATGGGTGATGACTCTTATGATAACTACCATCGTAGCATCCTTTGCATTACCAAAGCTGCGGATGACTGTCATGATAACTATCATCGCAGCATCCTCTGCATTACTAAGGGTGCCTAACCCTACATTTGACATGTGTAGAAGAAAGAGATGATGCTGATAATCATGATGACGGTGATAACTATGATGACAATCATCATGAAGATGATAAGGATGATATCTCGCAGGACACCTATCATCGTAGCATCCTCTGCCGTCATGACAACTATCATCGCAGCATCCTCTGCATTACCAAAGCTGTCGAAGACTGTCATGATAACTATCATCGTAGCATTCCCTGCATTACCAATGCTGCAGAAGCAGAAATCATGATGATCATACGTATAACGATGATAAGGATGACGACTGTCACAATAAGTATCATCACAGCATCCTCTGCATTACCAATGGTGCCTAACGCCACATCTGAAATGTATAGAAGAAAGAGATGATGCTGATAATCATGATGACGGTGATAACTATGATGACAATCATCATGAAAATGATAAGGATCATAACTCTCATGACAACCATCATCGTAGCATCCTCTGCCGTCATGATAACTATCATCGCAGCATCCTCTGCATTACCGAAGCCGCCGATGACTGTCATGATAACTATCATCGTAGCATCCCCTGCATTACCAATTCTGCAGAAGCAGAGATCATGATGATCATACGGATAACGATGATAAGGATAACAAACGCGATGACGATGATGAAGGCGATGACTGTGATGACATCATGAAGGTGATAAGGGTGATGACTCTTATGATAACTATCATCGCAGCATCCCCTGCATTACCAAAGCTACGGATAACTGTCATGATAACTATCATCGTAGCACCCTCTGTATTACCAGGGGTGCCTAACGCCAGAATTGAAATCATGATGACGATGATGACTATAGAAGTAGAAGAAAGAGATGATGATGACAATGATGATGACGATGATGATGGTGATAACTATGATGACAATCATGATGACGATGATGAAGGCGATGACTATGATGACAATCATCATGAAGATGATAAGCATGATGACTCTTATGAAAACTATCATCGTAGCATCCTCTGCAGTACCAAAGCTGCGGATGAGTGTCATGATACCTATCATCGTAGCATCCTCTGCATTACCAAGGGTGCCGAACGCCACATTTGGAATGTGTAGAAGAAAGGGATGATGAGGACAATCATGATGACGATGATAAAGATGATGACTATGATGACAATCATCATGAAGATGATAAGGATGATGACTCTTATGAGAACTATCATCGTAGCATCCTCTGCATTACCAGAGTTGTGGATGACGGTTATGAAAATTATCATCGTAGCATCCTCTGCATTACCAAGGGTGCCTAACGCCACATTTGAAATGTATAGAAGAAAGAGATGATGAGGACAATCATGATGACGATGATGAAGATGATAACTATCATCGTAGCATCCTTTGCATTACCAAAGCTGCGGATGAGTGTCATGATAACTATCATCGCAGCATCCTCTGCATTACTAAGGGTGCCTAACGCCACATTTGAAATGTATAGAAGAAAGAGATGATGCTGATAATCATGATGACGATGATGGCGGTGATGACTATGATGACAATCATCATGAAGATGACACGGATGATAACTCGCAGGACACCTATCATCGTAGCATCCTCTGCCATCATGACAACTATCATCGCAGCATCCTCTGCATTACCAAAGCTGCCGATGACTGTCATGATAACTATCATCGTAGCATTCCCTGCATTACCAATGCTGCAGAAGCAGAGATCATGATGATCATACGTATAACCATGATAAGGATGACGACTGTCACAATAAGTATCATCACAGCATCCCCTGCATTAGCAATGGTGCCTAACGCCACGTTTGAAATGTATAGAAGAAACAGATGATGACAATCACGATGACGATGATGAAGGCGATGACTGTGATGACAATCCTCATGAAGATGATAAGGATGATAACTCTCATGACAACCATCATCGTAGCATTCTCTGCCGCCATGATAACTATCATCGAAGCATCCTCTGCATTACCAAAGCCGCCGATGACTGTCATGATAACTATCCTCGTAGCATCCTCCGCATTACCGAAGAGCTGCCGATGACTGTCATGATAACTATCATTGTAGCATCGTCTGCATTGCTAATGCTGCAGAATCAGAGATCTTGATGATCAAACGGATAATGATGAGAAGCCTGACAACTGTCATTATAAGTATCGTCAGAGCATCCTCTGCACTACCAAAGCTGCGGATGACTGTCATGATAACTATCATCGCAGCATCCTCTGCATTACCAAGCGTGCCTAACGCCACATGTGAAATGAGATGAGATGATGACAATCATGATGACGATGATGAAGGCGATGACTATGATGACAATCATCATGAAGATGATAAGGATGATACCTCTTATGATAACTATCACTGTAGCATCCTCTGCATTACCAGAGCTGCGGATGACGGTTATGATAACTATCATCGTAGCATCCTCTGCACTACCAAGAGTGCTTAACGCCACATTTGAAATGTATATAAAAAAAGAGATGATGATGACAATCATGATGACGATGATGACGGTGATGACTATGATGGCAATCATCATGAAGATGATAAGGATGATGACTCTTATGATAACTATCATCGTAGCATCCTTTGCATTACCAAAGCTGCGGATGACTGTCATGATAACTATCATCGCAGCATCCTCTACATTACTTTGGGTGCTTAACGCCACATTTGAAATGTATAGAAGAAAGAGATGATGCTGATATTCATGATGACGATGATGACGGTGATAACTATGATGACAATCATCATGAAAATGATAAGGATGATAACTCCCGGGACACCTGTCATCGTAGCATCCTCTGCCGTCATGACAACTATCATCGCAGCATCCTCTGGATTACCAAAGCTGCCGATGACTGTCATGATAACTATCATCGTAGCATCCCCTGCATTACCAATGCTGCAGAAGCAGAGATCATGATGATCATACGGATAACGATGATAAGGATGACTCTCACAATAAGTATCATCGCAGCATCCTCTGCATCACCAATGGTGCCTAACGCCACATTTGAAATGTGTAGAAGAAACAGATGATGATAACAATCACGATGACAATGATGAAGGCGATTACTATGATGACAATCCTCATGAAGATGATAAGGATGATAACTCTCATGACAACCATCATCGTAGCATCCTCTGCCGTCATGATAACTATCATCGAAGCATCCTCTGCATTACCAAAGCCGCCGATGACTGTCATGATAACTATCCTCGTAGCATCCTCCGCATGACCAATCAGCTGCGGATGACTGTCATGATAACTATCATTGTAGCATCGTCTGCGTTGCTAATGCGGCTGAATCAGAGATCTTGATGATCAAACGGAAAATGATGAGAAGGCTGACGACTGTCATGATAAGTATCACCACAACATCCTCTGCACTACCAAAGCTGCCGATGACTGTCATGATAGCTATCATCGTAGCACAGGATGGTGGTCGGCAAAACGAAGCGTCCTCCAGCATGGGCATGTCGTTCAAGCCAAGTCTAAAGGGATACATCAAATGTGTATCATTTTTTTGAATCAATAGTCTGGGTAGAACGATGCCAAGCCGGGTCTAACGGTACAACTGAAATGTATATAGAGAACATATAAAAAAGATGAAGGTGGAGGATAAGCATCATTACGCATCTCTAGCATCCCTAGCAGCAATGAAGCTAACCATCACTACACATCGCTTGCATGTCAAGCCGGGTCTAACGGTACACTTGAACAGTATGTAGAAATATAGAAAAGACTTCAGAAAACGAATCATGACGACGATTATGAACGTGGACGACTATATAGACGAGATATACAAAGACTTGAGAAAACGAGTCATGACGAGGATCCTGAGCATTGATTATCAGCATCACTACACGGCCGGAGCACCCGCAGCATTCCTGCAGCGATAGCATCTCTGGCAAGGATAGTGCCGATTCTTGCCATCGCCCTTCCCGTGCGCCTCCCCGTTTAGGCGAAGGGGTCGGCGGAGTTTTCTGGGGCTGGCGCAATTTTGCTTTAAACCATCTGGAGGGTAAATGTTGACGGCTTTTTCATCAAAGAAGCCAAAGGAGGCCCAAAGAGGCTGTCCTTGCCTCTCCTTGTGAAGTATCTCAACCACCCGTGCGTTTAGGGTCCCTCAACTGGAAAAGTACTTCGTCCACTCGTGCTCCAGTGGCTTAGGACCAAATGATTCATGTGTTTTGTGATAGTTTCTCTGGAAGCAAAGTTGTCACTACTGCTTGTCATTAGTTGCTTGGTTGGCATCTTTCGCTCGTCAGGCGCCATTGCAATCATTGCACGAGGCCTTCCATGAGTGGAATTCGGCGAATCCCGAGTGTCAATGTCATCGAGCACTAACAGGAGGAAGGTCGCAGAAGGAAGCCAAACCAAACCACCAAACAGGTCTGTCTTTTTTAGGAGAGACCCCCCAAACGGATGTTCTTTGTTTTTTTTGGCTTCCCTTTCAACCAACCCCAAAGCAGGTCCCCTCCAAAATGGCACAGCCAAGCTTCCACCAAGCCGGTTGCTTTGTTCTTTCGAGGCCGCAGATTGCGCAGATGGGCGCCGGAGGGCCCGATGTGGTCATGTCAATGTGCTCGGATTGGGAACGGGTCCCGGCCGTGCCCAGGTAGACCTTTAGGAGCGGGGAATTGTATGACAGGGCATCCACAGTATGAGACGCTTCAGGAAGCGATTCCCCATTCCTTCTAACCATGAGTTTTGGGTGCTTTTGCTGACTGGCTTCCTGCCGATGGAGAAGTTGCCCGCAGAACCATATTGGTGTCCTTTAAATCAATCCTAGGGAGGGGTAACCTCAAAACACCTGGTGGATTATATTTCATGCACACGGAGCCCAAAAAACATGCCTACAAATACCCAAGCGGGAAGGCATGGAAATGCCTCCTTTGAGGGGAACCCCAGAGCATGTCCTGCTGAGTGTCATGCCCTTTTCTAGAAACGAGGCATCCTAGATTGGGGAAAGCTACCGTCTAGATGGATGATTCATGCACGAAAAGGTTTTCTCATCCCCTTGCATGCCACATGTAAGCGAAGCCACGGAGTGGCCATGATGTTCAAAGCCACGGTTTCTGGCTGACACATTTCCCCAGCTTTTGGATTATTTAGTCACTCTTTCATTGCCAATCCCATCAAGAAGTGAGGCAGCCTCTGTTATCTCAGCGCTTGGGAAAACTCTGAATACAGCTGAGCGTTCCACCTTTTGCCAAGACAAATTGTAGGGTCGAGTTTGCTGGAGCGTCAAAGCTGCATGATGGTACCCCGTGCGAAAGCGAGGTAAAAGACGATGGCACACTTTGCAAGCAAGGATTAAAGCAAGCGGCATGAAGATTCATTCGGGATGGTCGGCTGGGGATTCACATTTTCGTCAAACATGGTTCGGTGCACAGGCCCCGTCGTTGGCAGAAACGACTTCCATGTTAGACGGGAGGGTGATCAACCAAAAGGTGGCGCGTCCAAACATGGAACATATGCAAAACCCATGAAATATCCAAAGGTCGAAATGTTCCAATTAGTGCAGATCACTTGTTTTGCAAATCACCACCGTTCCCTTTGGCCGTCGCAGGCCCAACTTCTTGCTTATTAGCACTCAAGGGGATCCAGCGCCTTTTTTGCTTCAAAACAGGGGTCCGGGACCCCACATTGTGGGAAGGCTCCTTTGGTTTCCATGTTGAGCTCCCTCCGAACAAATCGACACCCTCCTGGTTTTTCCATGTTGTGTGCGGAGGCGCGGGTGCCTCACCCACAGCCATGCCTCTTTTGTTTTCACCTTTGTTTTGAGGTCAAGACTTTGGTGCTCTGCGGCGCGGGCAAGGTGGATGCCAGCTACTTCAGGAGAGTTCGCTGTTGGCAGTTTCAGGGGCACCTTCAGGCCTTCAGGTATCGGCTTTTGGAGGTGTGGCGGTCCTAGACCGCTCGCAGATAGTTTCTGATAGTTGTAAGGCGAGTTTGCAGCTCAGTTGCCATTCGGTTTGGGAAGCCGCCGTGGATTTCTGGGCCGATAGGGGGACCAGTGCTGCGAGAAGTCACCGGCATCTACCTGCCCGTGAATAATAGTTGTTTGCTCTGTGCAAAGCCTCAGCTGCATGGTGGATGCCAACTCAATGTCCCAAGTAAGGAAACAAGGACACCGATTCTATGCTTCACTGTAATATGCCATAATTTGCGTATTTGCCTCTGTGTGTGTGTGTGTTGGTTTTTCGTTTGGTGGGTTTACTTACAATACCGAGTAGGCATCCACAGCATTTGCCAGGCTGGGATGCTTTTGGATTGGCACAGATTATCGCAATGATACTAGGGAGATCCCCAAGTCAAGTCCAAGAGTGTCCAACTCCCAATTTGGCAAAAAAGATTGGACTCTCTCCAACCTATCCACTCAGCAAGTGAGGGGAACTCCTTGTCAAAAATGAGAATGTCAGGATAGGAGACCCCCTTTTCGGTTGGTGGTTCAATGCAAGGGCGATACAGAAGGACGCTCGCTATGGTGGGTTCTTCGGATTTAGCTTTTAACCAGAAAATAACATGTTGATTCTGGTTGATATTGTCAAGATTGAAATGGAAGACAACATGCACACAAGGACCCATCTTGTTTTCCCCCACGCCTTTTCCACTGCAACCCTCTTCCTTTCCCAGGGTGTTTGCCACGAGGCTTCCGGGCCCGAAGCCCGCGTCGACTGGATCTTGAGCGTGAGGATTGTGGAGACTTGTAAACCACGCCGCCTAGCCAGAAGAAATACACACCTGTTGTATTTGGGGGTATGTGTTTGAGGGAGAGAGGGGGTGGGCCAGTAGCATGATGGCCCGCACAATGTTGCTTATAGCAAGTGGAGAGGTGGGAACTCGACGTGATGTCTTTTTTGTTTGCCGGGTTTTCTGCGTTGCACATGGGCAAGCCGCTTAGCAACTAGGATGTAGTTTGTTTCGTTTCCGGGATAGTTTAAACATCACCGTTTGAGACAATGTAATTGAGCTCGGGTCAATGATCAAGGGCATTTCCAGATGAATTTGCGGAGGTATGGATGCTTTGTACCATCATAATCAGCTTTTAACTCTGCATATGTACTGTACCTCGATATCTTCAAAATCCATACCTGGCGATTCCCTTGATTGAAAGCGTTACATAGTTCTACATAATGGTGAGCTCACATGGGAATAAAACGAGCTTAACATGATGCACCATGATGTAAGGATCCGCTTACTTCAGGTGTTCGAAGCAAAGGTCGCAGGTTTCGTGCATGTACCCGAAGGGCTGCCAGGCGTGGCTGCGCTTAAGGGGTACACCCCAGCCTGTTTGGGTCACCGCCGGCAGGAGCCATGTGCTGGACCTGCGGAACCTTCGCGCAAATCTGGCCGTGGGCTTGGCCCAGGCGGGTCCGAAGCCGTAGCTATGGGTTTGTTACATTTCCTCACCCCCCGAGTTTCACTATAGTCACTTTATGAGAAGACCATTTTATTCTCAAAGATCTTGAAAAGCTCTTTACTCACTTCCCGAGTTCCTGGACTTTTCAGCTTTTTGGGATTGCTAATTATTTCAGTGAGAGACAAAAGTTTAGATTTTTTTGGGCCAACCACTCAGTGGGATTCAGGGTTCCTTACATGTCCTTTTTGGGACGTTCAAACATCAGTTTTTGGGCGCCAATTTGAACCAGACATGTGGGCAAGCGAGAGTGCCATCTGCTTTCGCCCATGGTGCTCTGTTTTTTGTTCGGAAAATGAGAGTGCTGTCCGACTTGCCGAACGCAAGAATCAGTTACCCAAGAAAACCCTGAGATTTCGCAATGGGCACGGTGATAGACTTCCTGTGGGTACACCCTCGGCCGCGAATCCCACGGTATGAGACGTACCAAAACTGTGCTTCCACCTCCTGGAGTTGACCAGTAGTGGCAAACACGATATGGGTGGCACATCCTTTTTTAGGTTGGACCTTGCAAAATCGTGAGGTTTCCTTGTGGCTTCCTTGTGGCTTCCTTTTTAAACGACGAATCATGGAGTAGCCCACAAAAATCACACCCATATGGCCCGCCCTCTCAAGAAGTGAGGCCTAGCTCATCCTAGCTCACCTTGTGTTGGGCTAAGATTTGGCAACATGTGAGACATGTTGGGACATGCTGATAAGGATCTTGGACATTGACCAAGTTGCTCTGTTCAATGCTTGCCGAGTTTGTGTGTATCTAGTTTCTTGTCAGTTGCTATGCCCTAAAAGCAAATTTCATCCCTTGAGAACCCACGATCGGCATTTCAGGCGGGTAGGGGTATGACTCTGGAACCTTTGAATGTAACGCGTGCCAGACACCGACATGTGGGCCTGGGGGGATGTGCAGCACCTGGACTGGGTGATGATGTCCCAACAGCTGGCCGAAGCATGGAATTCAGTCCTCAGTGCTCATGGCCAAGATTTATCCGGGAACATGAGGTGGAGTTCAGGCAAAAGTCGGAGTGGGTTTTGACCAAAAATCGGGTAAACCCAAAAATGGAACCCTGGTACCTGCGGTCCCCTGGTGGTTTAATTTGGACCCATACCCATACTGAGTTCTTTGGGCATGAGCAAGTTGAGCTTCTGTTTGCAGGGCCCTGGCTCAGCCAGCAAGGGAAACCTAAACTAGGGTGGGGGTGGACAACAAGCCGCCTGACTGGCCTCAAGATAGTTATGTGTTTTGTTGAGGGTATCCTTCTCAGCTTGGTTTATATAAAGGAACGTCGGCCATTTGGCAGTGCCCTCTTCTGGCACATACCCATTTGTTTGTCTCCAGCTTGGATGCCACGATTTTTTCTTTTCTTTTTTTTTTTTAAATCCACCGTCCACCCCTGTAGAATACCAAGAATATACTAAAAGAGCGGGAACAACAGGTAGACTCCACAGAACGTGCATTTGAAGCGGTGTCTCTTGAAATTCCATAGTTGCGAAAAGGCTAAGTATCTGCTTTTCAAGGAAGTCCAGCTGTCTCATTGAGTGTCTTGTCTTTATATAATAGTCTTGAATTGGGTGAATTCCCTTGCAATTGGCTGAAGGAAGACCAACGCTTCATGTCCATTGGTTGGATCTTTGGACTTTAACTTTTCGGGAAACAGCGGATTTTCCATACCCACCGAAAGTTGCACTTTTTGCACAGGGGTCACCAGCATCCAAGAAAAGACACCGAGCACTTTGGAGACCAACAAGACATCTTCCCCAAAATTAGCTCCCCTTTTTGCTTTTTGCTTTTTTGGGGTCCCTTTGTTTTGCACTAACCAGGCAAAAAAGATATATATATTTTTGCTGGGGTCCGATTTTTCCAGCCTAGACATGTGTCTGCCTCCACGCCCTGGGTGCGCGTTGTTCACGTCTCGGCGAAGAGCGAGAGGTGCAGGACGACTCCGTGCCGCGCATCCTGCTGGCGCCGAACTTCCAGGAGACACGGGCTGGCTTAGCTGCAACCGCTTGGTCAACGCGTGGTGCCCTCTACATCTTTGCCCTTGACTGGCAAGCAAAACATGTTCGACTTTTTTTGCCAATCCACCCACCCAGGAAGTGAGTTGACTTGACCAAATGGATGAACAGAGAACAACGTGTGACCAAGTATTTGGGCCCAGTATCTGGGCCACAAACCAGCTGGATTGGTAACCTTAAACTTGGATTTGGGGTGGATGTCGACTGGGAATCGAATCCCACCCACAATGAATGCACAGGCCAGGATTGCTACCGGTTCCCTTTGAACAGTTTGAGGGTTTCTCAACATTCCTACAAATTGGTTGCCCTTGGAGCAGAATTGGATGATTTTCCACCAAAACAATGGTAGCCACATCCCCTCACAGTTCCCATGTTTTCCTATGGGCGGCCAAAACCCGAGGGAGTGAAGGTTAGTAAGGGACGCGGAAATGAGGTGACCCTTTTTTGGACTTATCCAGGGATGGACTCCCACATGTTAGATGCCCCAACTGTGGATTCCAACTGCACACCTTTGGCACCAGGACCCACCGGAGATCCCTAGTTCCACCACGCCAGGCCCAACAAAATTGGTATGCGTCAGAATTGGGCCTCAAATTGTGGTGTTTTTCTGTCGGTGTCCTTTTCATCCAGGGAAAAGGGGGTTCCCTTACCCACAAAAAACATCTTGAAATGAGCGCCGTACCATGGGGTCAGGAGCTGTTGGCAGGGGGCGGTCTTCTGGACCAAACCTTTCCGCGCCGCAAGCTCAGAACGCCCGAAACACCTATGGCCTAAAACCTCGGCGTGCATATTTCACATGGGAATCATGACGCAGGGACAGATCGCGAATCATCACACTTGCTGGGCAGGCTGGGCATGGCTCTTTTTTGTTCAAAGAACCTCCCTTTCTTAGGTGGCCAAATCGAGTCAGGATGTTCAGACAAGTTTCGCCAGGTACATGTTTTCGGGGCCTTGGAGGCCTAGTTGAGGCCTAAGCCCAAAGACCCACCTTCTGTCCCAAAGCTCTGGGGCTCAATTTCGCCCATGGGTGTGGGGGTGTTGGCGGGCGGAACTGCCGAATCGCCGAATGGTTTCCTTGTAAATGCTAGGGGTCGGTTTGGGAAACCGCCCATTTCGACTGTACCATTGACTTGCCCCGGATTGGATGACCGGTTCTTGGCCGGCAGGGATGTCCCTTAGGCCGGCTTCCAGTGGACCCCATGTTCCCTCGGGGTGGGTTTCTCTTATGAAGGAAGCAAGCACGACCAGAAGTGGCCTCCGGTGCTGTTGTTTAGCCACGGTGTGTTTGTTTGTTTTACGCCTTTTTGTTGTGTGGTTGCGTTTTGTGGGTATGTTTTGTGGTTGGCTCTTACATGCCCGGTTTGGAAGCGGGTTAATTACTAAATGGGAAACCACCCCCAAACCACCAAACCACCGAACTCCAAACCTTCAACTAGAGGGAAGCTGAAGAAAGGCATATCTGGTTCTCGCTCTTTCGGGGAAGTGTCTTGGTTTGGCCTAAGGTGAACAAGTGTCGCGCGTGGTCGCCCACCCAGCGGTGAACACCAGCAGCCTAGAGTGCGGTCCTCGGTTACGCCTCTCTTCCCTGTCGCTTGCTGAACCGGTGGATGCCAACAAAAAATGGAAGGGGACAAGGGAACCCTCAAACATACCTTGTGTTTTTGGGTATGGTTGGTTCGCCAGCGGTATTTGGGGCATCCACCGTAGGCCCTCCCCCTTCCATTTATAGAATGAGTGGCCCGATCAGGGCAGCTCTCTTCCCTGGTAACATCGTAGGGCACCTGCCAATCTAAGGGCCTTTTTCTGAATTGAAGAGAATGGGACGGGGGGAAATCATCAGATTAGCATGGTTCAGACGAACCCAAACGTTGGTGTAGATCTCTAAGGGGGCCCCTTGACTTCTCCAAAACGGGCCCAGCCGTTCGGTGTCTCTCTTTCGGTTCTTTCTGTTTGGGGGGGTTTTCAACATGCAAGCAAGCAAACAAAAAGAAAGCACATGCTGCTCTGCGAGGGCACCAGGGTCAATGGATGCAACCACGTTTCTCAACTTGAGAATTACTCTGTTAGTTGGTCGCCAAGTGGCGGTCAACCTCCTAAGGTAGGTATACTGGAAGAGCCTTAGTCAGAAGGAAGCTGCCAAGAAAAGCCGGGTAGAAACTGGCTGCTTCTTTTATCCCGTTCCAACCGCGAAATCTGTTCGGATTTCAGAGCACTCAACTTGCTGAACATGTGCAGTTTCCCACTCAACAAGTCGTCGAGGGGGCTTTTTTGGCAGGCAGTTGCCACTGAGCTCTGAGAAGATCACAAGCGTGGGAGAGTTGTCCATCGGACCAAGACGAGCTTGCTCCCTTTGAGCGTGGACGTGGTTGCTTTTGGTGCGCCATCTACTTTCACCTCGATTGCAGGGCCATAACCCAAGGCACAACTAGATTGGCAACCATGTCAGTTGCCTTTGGAAGCCGCCCGAAGAAGAAAGAACCCCTTGCCCATCTTTGCCCTCATAATTTCACGTGTCGGAAGTTAGGGGAAAGCACCACCAACATATTGTTGCTGGAGCGCGTGCTCCATCCTGTCCAAACACTTGCACTGCTCCTGGCATGTGTTTCAGCGTGTTGTTGTTTGGCGCTGTCTATTTAGCAGGCTGACACCTGATTCCGCCGACCCCCAAGACTTTTTTTCCCCGGACTGTCAAAAAGGCAGCAACCGCATCCCCAGCATGCAGAGCATCACCCAAGGCACCTCCAGTATGATGCCAGCAAAGCTGTGGATGCAAAAAATGCCTATTTTCCTGGTGCTCCAAGACCAAAAAGGCAGCTTGCAGCATCACCAGCGTACCTCGCATTCCCAGGATCATCAGCGATGGTGATGCCGGTGATGCCAAAAGCTGCCTTGTTTCCGTCATCATCATCATCATCATCATCATCATCATCATCATCATCATCATCATCATCATCATCATCATCATCATCATCATCATCATCATCATCGTCATCGTCATCGTCATCGTCATCGTCATCGTCATCGTCATCGTCATCGTCATCGTCATCCATCATCATCATCATCATCATCATCATCATCATCATCATCATCATCATCATCATCATCATCATCATCATCATCATCATCATCATCATCATCATCATCATCATCATCATTCATCATTCATCATTCATCATTCATCATTCATCATCATTTTGATCACCATCATCATCATCGTCATCGTCGTCATCGTCATCATCATCATCATCATCATCATCATCATCATCATCATCTTTAATGTCATCAATCATCATCATTATCGTCGGTTGGAGGCTAGGGTTTGAGGTGAGGGTTAGAGGTTAGGGTTACAGGTCAGGGTTAGAGGTTAGGGTTAGAGGTTAGGGTTAGAGGTTAGGGTTCGAGATTAGGGTTAGCGGTTAGGGTTAGAGGTTAGGGTTCGAGATTAGGGTTAGAGGTTAGGGGGGGTTGGGTTAGTGGTTAGGGTTAGAGGTTAGGGTAAGAGGTTTGGGTTAAAGGCTAGGGCTAGAGGTTAGGCATCATCATCATCATCATTATCATCTTTAATGTCGTCAATCATCATCATTATCGTCGGTTAGAGGCTAGGGTTTGAGGTGAGGGTTAGAGGTTAGGGTTAGGGTTACAGGTGAGGGTTAGGGGTTGGGGTTAGACGTTAGGGTTAGAGGTTAGAGTTAGAGGTTAGTCGTGTCAAAAATCCATCCCGGGACCCCCCCTCCCCCCCTCAGACCCCCAACCACCACTTAGAACATGCCTCGCCCCTTTGCAGAGACTAACATGGCTTTTGCAAAGGGGTCGGCGGATTGCGTCATGCTGCTGAGGAAGGCACCCGTTCGCCCTGCAATTGCTTAGGTTTGGCGTTGCCGTTCCAAATCCATACATGTTACATGTTCCTCAAGGAGGTACGAGGCCACTCATAGGAAGCCCAGATCCATGAACTTGCCTGGGGTGTCGCTCCAAAAGTGATCTGGAGTCGCCGCTGGAACGAGCTCGCAGGTCTGTTGGTGAGATGCTGCTGGCCATAGGCCGGCAGTGGGAATTCTGGGAATCGTGGTCAATCCCTGTGTGCCTGGCGATTTTGGGCTACAATGCTCGACCCCACAAAGGACTTTGCCTTCCTAGTTATTTGGTGAATCTCACTTCTTCTGGATCATGTCCCTGCTTCCATCTGCAATGGAATCAATCCAAAAGCAAGGTGTTGTCTACCACACTGGTTGCAACTTGGCCAGGCGAAGTTTTTGGGCTTTCGGAGGCATGGGGAAAAATATCCGGCAACATCCTTGTCCTTCAACTCAATGTTTCCTACAGCTGATGATGGTTGATTTGCATTTCATTCCCGTGTCTTTCTCCAAGACACACAATTCACAGGGTAGCCGGAGCTCACGAATCCGGTTGAAAAGGGACAAGACTATCCGAAGAACCCAACGGCTGTGGGGTCATGAAAGGCCCCTAATGGTTCCCGACCGTAGTCACTAGTCATGACTCCAAAGGGCGCATTACCCACAGTTCGGCGCCTTTTTGTTTTAGAGTTGTTTGGTTTTTCACACTGGGTGGCTGCAAACGGATCAAAGGTTGCTTCCATACCAAGGTTTGATAAGCTGACCTTTGGTGGTGCTCAAGTCATCAGAGGTTATCAGGTTTCGATAGGCTCCGTTGCCGGTGTCGATGAGAAATGCATTTGCAAATGAATATTTCTGAGGGTGCCCCATGTTTGGTGGTTCTAAAGGAAAAACACAACGGAAAACTGAAGCCATGTTTGATTGTGGGAACCCCCAAAAAACATATAGTTGAAACGAGGCATTGGATTTGCCGGGTTTTAACGCATGGATCCAGCTTCGCATCACCCAACCGAAGGTATGTCCCACAAATGGGAGTTCCGTTCCCCGAATGTGTGGGCAAAAGTGGCAGGAATGCTTTTGCGCACTTGTTGTTTGGGTTTGGTTTGTCTTTGCTTGGTTGCTTGCCTGAATAAATTAGTTTTTTGGTGTGGTTGTGGTCTTTGACGGCATGGATTACCGCCCTTGAACCGTGGTTCCAGGTCTTCCGCTTGAATGGAGCCCAAGCTTGGCAAAAGTCCAGGTCCGGTCGTTTTCATCCCCAACCCGGGAATTTGGCTACCCAGCAAAGCCCATCAAGGTGAAAGCCCCAATGCGCAACCAGAGGGCAACACAATGCGAGGAATCAAGAATCGGACATAGTTGTTTACTTTTTTTTGTTAAGCAAAAAAGAACCGGGGGGGATGTTCGTTAAACCTGCAGGCTGTTTGGAGTTTGCAGCACCCCTGTTGAAGTGGCCCTGACCATTTTCTGGGACAGGAATACCACCATTTTACCTAAGGCTCATCTCAGAATCCAAATTTTGGGCCCTCGGTCGTTTTGGGGTCGAAGTTAGCGCCCCAGCTCCGTTTCTGAGGTCCGGAAGCCGGCTGGGAGGAGCCCGGAGAACCCAGCCGGAGCTGAACGCCGTAAATGGACACCCGAAATTTGGCGGGTTCCAAACGACGGCGCTCCAAAAGACGGGCGGCTTCCGAGAATGGCACCTTGAAGGGCATGTGCAAAAACATGTGGCTGTGGCTCAAAGACAGGTGCCAAAAATGGCTCAGCAAAGGGAACCAAAGACTAACGCCTTGAAACGGAACCTTTGTTGATGGGCGAGGACGTTTTGCCCCTTTTGCCCTGAAGCATGTGCACAGCCAATGGTCAGAGCAAGCGTCCATGGACAGGAGCCAATGGTGCACCCTCGCCTTTCTAATTTTGAGCCACACCTATGTGACGAAAAGGTGGTTTAGTCATTGGGTGACGAAACATGTTCAAGCAAGGGGGTTGCGCGACGTGAGTTCCGAGCGTCGCCGGTTTCCAATTCACCTGTTTAGATTTCTTTTCGGAGGAGGAAGGGAATTGTCGAGGGGCCCCCCGAGAAGTGACATCCATGGGTTCACAACCTTGGCAACTTGTCCAGAGTCAAGCGTCTCCAAAGAGCGAAATTGGAGGGCCACTTTCTGCGAGGGAGCCTTATGTGATGTCGTCATGAGCATGGGAGTTCAACTTCGGCATGGCAGGACTTGTTGCTCACAGCCAAGTTGTTTTTTGTGTGTTATTTGCCGTAGAATACCACCACCCAAAGTGCTGCCAACCTCGGTTTCGCGAGCTTCTTTTTGGCATTGCAAAAGGCAGCGGCGGCGCAACGGGTAGCTCCGAACTTTTTGCGACAAAACCTGAAGAGTAGGAACTAGGTTCGGTGTCCTTTACTTGTCCTTCACACGTGGGCTGCTTTTCTCTCCACTTGTGGCGATTGATAGCGTCGAGTGCGAGCAACCGGAACATGTCAACCACACGGTCCTACATCAGAAGCAGCGTAGTGTTCCATTTCCGACCCCTTCCAAACATCAATGTTTTTAGATTCCCCAGAGCTCCAGTTGAGCCCTCGTCTCCCCTTTTTGGGGGGGAGGGGGTGTGCCTCAGAGTCAACCCGGGATAAAAGTGCGCCCCCTTGTGCCCCATGGAAATCCACTGGGAAGCCTCACTCCAGCCCGAGCCAGCGAAGGTCCGAGCTGGAGATGTGCCCCGGCCACGAAGTTCTGTGCATGTCTCGTCTTGGGGCTAGGGTCCCTGAGGTTTCTTGGCCTTTACGCTCAGACATGACTCCAAAATTTCGAAGATCCACGGCTCGTTGCGGTTTCTTTGTTTTAGTTGCTTGAACTGGTCTTTGTTCATTGTTTTTTTTTGGAGGGGGGTGCCAAGGTTTGCTTAAGTTTGACTTGCGTGCCCGACTTTGTCGAGCCCCTCCGTGTTTCAGGCGTGACAAAAAGGGAAAAAAACCAGCCACTACGCACCAGGGTATGTGCCCTGCTTTCCCCCGAAATCCTTGGGAGCCGCCGCATAAATCAACCAGTCGGTTAACTGTTTTTGGGGAGGGTTGCATCCAACAGTGATCTGGGTCCCATTGCAGGCCAGATCCCTTTTGGGTTTCTTTAACTTGGCATCAGCACAACCAACTCCTAAAACATGGAACATGGCAATAAAGATTGACCCTTGGAGTTCCGGGACTTGGAACTTTTTGGGAAGAGCATTCTAGTGGGAGACAAAAAGTGTAGACGTTTGTTTGGCCAATCTACTCAGGAAGTGAGAAGCCATTCCCCGGAGAAATATGGAGGACCAGCCGCATGTTGATGTACTGTGGGGTTCCGGTAGGGTCTTGCCATCCCTACCTCCCCCGTTTTCAGATATTTTCTTCGAGAGGTCCACCAGGGCTTGCAAGGAAAGGCTGGTCCTTAGAAGCAAAGAAGTACACGGTATACGGTATGCAGAAGATTCTCATGGTTACATGGCTGTCAGGCCCCCCCCCTCAAAGAGGAACACTTTCAAAGGAACCCAGGAAAGCAACAAACAGCGGCCTTTCTGAGTCGCGGCGCCTATGTTCGAGGACTTGACGACCATAGGGCAAATCATGGTTTACGACAACCCGGATCACTGAATTTCCCCAGAACAGGACTTCCCACCTTGACTCTGCCCACGACTTCTCTCCGTACCGCCCCTACCGCCCCTCTCGGTTCCCTGGGTTCCGCGACCGCCACGCGCCGCGCAACCCACCCCTCGAGTCCTCGGAGTCGTGACTCGAGCCGTGAGTGACTCGGAGGTTCTGGGCCGCCGGCTTCGCGGCGGCGTCGCTGGGCCCCAGGATCCTGCGCTCGGACGTGGCCGCGGTGGCCGTGTTGGCCCGGCGCCCGCTTTGCGGCGAGCGAGCGAGCGAGAGCCCGGGCAATGGCCCCGTAGGTCGACCGTATGTCGAGGTAAGCAGTCTTTGAATTCAGCACATGTCTTGCTTGTTTTTGGTGTTGTGTTTCTTTAGGTGAGGGGCTGCAAAGAAGAAAGTGTGTTGCTCATGTACCAAGGGTTCAGCCTTCTGTAACCATTGCTTTTGCCAACCGGAGAATAGGAGATCTCGCCTCAGGTCCGGTACGTCCTAGAACATCCATTCTGTAGGACCGTGTTTGGGTTTTGAAAAATGTCGCTTTCTCTGAATAGCAGTGTTTCACGTTGTAGTCATGAGATTTGGTTAGGCGTTGTGTCCCATAAAATGTGTGACCCTACAAATGATGTCAGGCTGGCTCCACTGACATAGGTACCTACTGGTAGATTCAACTTAAGGAAAAGTTTAGTGACCACTTGTAGGCAGCCCCTTGTTTTTGTACGCTGGTTAGTCAATCCTCAATTCTATACTACAAAAGGCTGTTCCAACCCCACCCAAAAGGGATGCAAACTTAGGCACGATTTCTGTAATACGGGTGTAGTGGGGATGGCCTACTTCGGTATCCAAGAACGGGGGGATTTTCCATGTCGAAAACACAACCCAGCTCTAGCTCGATTGGGACCACGTTAGCAGCAAGTCAGACTTTTTGGCCACCCCACTTGAGGTTCACAAGGGTTCGCTTGACGAGTTAACCTTTTTTTGCCCGGTTGGCCTTGTTGACGTTGTTTAACCCAGCTGGGTTTTTGCTAACAGGAACGCAAACCGTTAAACCCAGTTGACCTTGTTTCTCACTTCCCATGTGGCTCATGCGGATCAGTTTGCTCATGTTTGGGCTCCCTGCATGTTCAGTTCATCGGGCTGGGAAGAACTGCGCCAGGCACTGGCTGATCAGCTGCAAGGTGAGGCGAAGAGGCGAAAAAGAGCCATACGACAAGCGCCTAAATCATTGAAGGGGCTGTATAGTCATGATCACAGGGGGAAGTGTTGATCATTGTCCAGCCCCTTATGAAGTTGCCAAGCTTTGTTTACATGCTTTTGCTCTTGCCTTGTTGGCCTTCCTTTGCGCATGAGTTTGGCCAGGTATGGGTGTGTCTTTCCTTGGAGTTGGTTCCCTTGCTGGGAGGTCGGACATGGAATTGAGAGGGAAGCCGCCCAGACATGCGGGGAACCACCTTGCTTTGCGCTTGAGACATGGCCATATTTGTTGGATGTTTTCGTTTCTGCAGGAGGAGGCTGGTTGAGCTTACTCCTTCATTACATGTTGGCATGTTGAAATCCCTCAATTCATGGAGTTTTGTCCATGCTGGCTGGTGCTGATTGGATTTTGGTCCACCCCACAAACCCTAATCGGTAGAACACTTTCCGGTGCTCAGCACTGAATGAGGGAGTGAACCCTGTAACCATTTTCTTGTGGCTTTTCCTTTCAGGGAATCCCTGGGTTCATTCCCACATTTCCTGCTGACCATCAAGAAAAGGGTAGCTGTGATTGAACCCACACACCTCAAGCGTTCTGCTTGTCGGACGCCCTCTTATCGCACGCCTTTGCGCTCTGGCTCGCGGGCAGATAGAACCTGAGGCTCGCCTGGCAAACACCCGAGGCGAACAGACGAGGAACATGTCCAGTATCGTTTGTCGGACTTGAATTGATTTGTCTAAGCCAGCTGCTTTTTCGTATTGATCTGATTCAGATGGAAAAACTTCCAAAGTCCGGCCGCCCCGGAAAGTCTTACCCAAATGCAAACTCGTTGGTAGGTTTCATCATTCTAGTCAGGGTCCCAAACCAAATCAAACTTTTTCTGGCCAATCAACTCAACAGGTCAGTTGCTCCCACCGCACCGAAGCATTCGCGAGCACTTGGCACCGCATTTGACCGCGAGATGTGCGTCAATTGCGAAGGGGCATGCCCCGACCTTGGATCTGTGCGAGCAATGAAATGCAACTTGTTTTCGTTGTGACCCAGCCATAGTGTCTCAACATAATTAGGGAGCCCCTCCTTTTTTGGATGGATTTGAAGTGAAACCCTGTGTCAACCAGCATGGGGGGTCCTTATTGTGAGAAACATTGAAACACCCTATTATGTGAAAGCTCTATCCCACCAGGAAGCCAAGAGGGGATTTATATTCGTGTCACTTTTCAGGAACCAAAAGGCAATGGATAAAGGGAGCCTCACCCCAGTCTTGTTTGGATTCATGCACTAAAGATCTGAGTTGGTTCGGGGACCCACCTTTAGAGGGTCCCTCAAAGGTTACACTCAGTTGTCCAAAGCAAACCGACCTTTTGACCTTTTTATTTTCCCCTTCCGGTCCATCTTTGGCAATTTCCCAGATGGTTAGCCTGTTATTTCCAAGTGTTTTTGGCAAGTGAGATACATTCGTGGCAAACAATTCTCCTTTACCAGCTGATGTAGAGGATCTAAGTCCTTGTAGGTGGTTGTTGGATGTATCCTGAACGCAACCATGCTCAAAATGCGAGAAGCCAACCAAAAGTGACGTTTCTGTCTTGTTGCGAAGGGACCGCTGGCTACGCTAGTCTCAGTGGGCAACCCATTGAACATTTCGGAGGGTGGTGAGAATCACTTTTGGGGGGGTCATGTTGAGGGGTGATGTTTTAGTGATGGAACCCTCTGTTGGGCTGTTCTGGGGGTGAGGGGGGGTGTTGACAGTGAAACTCTGTCAGGGTTGGCGACAATTTGTGTAGAGAGCCTGACCCTGGCCACTCTAACGGAGAAAGTAAAAACACTTTGTTTCAGCAATGGTGGTTGATTTAAGCTCCTACATCGCCACGCACTTGGACCCCAGGCCGCATGACAGCGATCACAGTGTGCCTGAACACTGGGTCTGCGCAAATGACCATGTTGAACAAATGAACGTTGAGTCAGTTCTTGGGACGGGGTCCCGCGCAAGCCCTGGCAGCCACGCTATTGCCAGCGCGTGCTCCAGCGGGCAATTTCAGTCTACGGCGCTGAGACGGTGCGCGCGATCTGCAACAGTTGCATGGGACGCCCAACTCCTGCCTGACGGTGAAGGCACGTACTGGTTTGTGGAGTGGGCGCGGGGCAGGCACGGGTCGCCTACGCACACCTGAGATACCGGGTGATCAACAAACCTTCCGCTTGACTTATAATGCTAACTGTACTCACGATTGGATCGGGCATCGAATCAGGTCAGCGCCTCAAACAGAATTGCAGCGTCAATCAGGATCAGGTAGTGGCGTTCCTACCCACACATGCAGGGCAGGCAGCAGCACGCGCAAAACAAATGGCAGAGGGAGTGAGCGATGGCTGGCGCGGCGCAGAATGCTTCATGCTCCATGTTTACAACCTCCCGAAATTGGATATGCCAGATGTTCTACTTGCCGGGTTCAGAGCTGGGGCCATCATGTTGACTGTTTCTGGGGATTATCACACCCAAGAACCCCAATTCATAACCGCATAAGGCGGGCCTCCCCCTTGACCGTTGCAACAAGCAACCCAAACGGCAGAGAGGGAAGCCCGTTTCAGGTGTGGATTTCAAGCTTGCAGGACTTCATTGATACACAAATGTTTGCCTGAGCTTTCGTGGCAAATGAGTGCCCCGAGTAGCGGGAAGTTGCGCTCGAGTTGCGGGTTCGTTTCTCCAGAGCACTTCACCAAAAACAGCTAGGCAACCTCAAAAAGTGCTCGAATTGGGTTTTGAGCGGAAAAAACGCGCGAATGCCAACAACTATTTCGAGCACTTTTTTGTGCATCAAGGGGTCCTCCAGGTACATGTATAGAGGCGATTGTTGTTTTTCCCTCTATCCTACCAGTCAGGAGGTGGCTCTGAGGCACAAAAATCACGGCGATTCGGTCTTCGGTGTGACCGAATCCCCCCTGAGACTTTTTGAGCACCAACGGCTTCTCCATCCTACAAAAGGTCATCGGCCTTTTGCTCGTTTGGGGGGCTTGGAGCACTCGGGCCAGTAGAGCCCCATTTCCAGCCAACCATGTTGGCAGGACTCCATTTTTTGGCCACCCCGTCGTAGGCTTACACCCAGAGGTTCTCCTTTTCGGGAAATGAACCAGCCATGGGCTTACGCCTCTCAGCTAGTTGTGCACTAAAGTTGACAAAAGGTTATATGACCAACTATGTTGAGGAGTGAAGAGTTGCCAGGAGCCATTCCTCTGAGAATCCCCAACAGGTTATAGAGCCATTTCTGGGTCCTTCTGGCAACGGAGGAAAACTTTGTGGAGAATCAAACCCTGGGGACCCTCTTCGGAGATTTTCCTTGCTTCTTTTCGCAGCCCCAAGGTCCGGCTCCGCCGCCGCCCCAATTTGCATCTTCGGGGAGTGGCGTTTGATGGCCTCTAAAACGGCCTCTTCGTGCCGTTTTCGGTCCAGAGTTTAGAGATGTTGGCAGTTCTTCGATGTTTCCACTTGCCCAAAGCTGACCTTTCCCCGGTTTGGCCCGTTTGTCATGGCCCGAGGCGAACAGTTCACCGCAAACCCTTTTCTCGGGAAAGTTTGGGCAACTGAGTCCCTGGCCACCAGCTCGACTTTCGCCATCGTCTTTTTTGTAGCCTTCCAAGCAGCTGAAAACCACCAGGGGGTCAGATCAGTTTGGCACAAACACCTTCACTAGTCACCCTGTGCCGGGTTCTCGAAAGGGCTGTTTTTGTGTACCAGCATCATTGAGCAGCTGGACATTTTTTTTTGGAAGGGTTGGAGTTGTTTGCCTCGTCGCACTCGCACATGTGAGCAGCGCCATAAACCCTGACAATACAAAGTAGTAGGCCGTTCTAAAGAAAACGAAGCCCGCGAAAGCAAAACATGGGGTCGCGAAAGCAAGTTCATAGTACCGCTTTTTACACAAGAGTATTCGGCAGGGCTCATGTGAGGTTGCAAATCCAGATCCATTTGAAAGACGCCTGGGGGATCTCCACCACAAAGCCAGACGTACCAAATCTCCGATGCCTCTTGGGGAAAAAGTGGACAGTGTTGACTCAGTTGTTCCAAGCAAATCGACCTTTCGACCTTTTGGTTTTCCCATTTTGGTCCATATTCAGTCATGGCCCCAAAAGCTTAACCTTTTAGTTGCAGGTGTTTGGGCAACTGAGTCATTGACCCTCTCGCGACACTTTCCGATTGCGGTCCTGTCTCTGGGCAAGTCCAAGGCGAAGATGGCCGCGCGGTGCTCAGAAACGCTGGGTGGGTTGGTCAAGGGCATCCGGACGTCCGTTTTGCATTTTTCGCCATGGAGAAAGATCACCTTCACCCTGCTGATTTCAGCAACAAGTTCAGTTTTGTGGAAGGTGTCGGATCCGTTTGGCCCAGATTTGTGTGCGTGTGTGTGTGCCCTTTCCGTTGGTTTTGACGGGGAGACACACAAGAAAACCGAAACCTTTTTTTTTGGGTGGGGGGCTCTCGCACATTTTGCGCAAACCCATGTGCATCATTCGGGTTTTCTGTGAGCCAGATGGATTTTGGGTTCAGGCCAAGCAAGAGATCGGCAAAGAATCGAACCGTCGGGACCTCAGCCGGAGCGGAACCTCAAGAACTTGGACCCGTCATTTGGGCGTGGATCAAAATTACACCACCAGAAAAACCGCAGATTTGATTGAGTCCTTAGTTTCCATTTACCAGGCTTCTATTTCGGGTACCCATTTTGGACCAGTCATTTCAGGCCCTAGACGTCCATCTGCTTTGGCCATAATCGAGGTCTAAGAATGTGTTTTATTCCCCACCTGTCCGTGTCACTGGGAAAAAGAGATTACTGGCAAGATGTTTTGTTTGTTTTCTTCCGGCAAGCGTAAGCCAATGGAAGACAAACGGGTTCCGAGGTATACGGGACAAGCGCCCCATTTCGTAGAACCAACATCCTTGCACCAAAAATCAGGACCCATTTGATTGGTGGTTTGGGGATTTGAGCCCCCCTTTGTTGTTGAGACTAACTGAGAAGGTAGCCCACACCACCAATCTACCCCCCCTTCAATAATGGGAAGCTGACAATTATATGTGAGGTGGTGATTTATTAAACAGGGGTCAACATTGCGCTGCATGCACCTGGGCTTTTCAAAACAAATCCTGAATGCAATGCCCTGCGGGTTATAGAAGCGGCTCAGGCGACATATTGCCAGCGGAAGCCTTGTAACTTGTAACCTTGTGCAGTACAGAAGCTTTCCCGGACTTGGCAGTTGGATGGGGTATCCACTGTGTTTGGGTGCTGGACAGGGCCCATAATTCTAGGCCGGGCTTGCGCGATCAAAGTGAGAAACTGGGTCGGTCATCTCCCTTGGAATCAGGGTGACCTGGATGGCGAATCGAATCAGTTTCAAGACCAAATCGCCTTGGGTCACGGGGGGTATATTCGCAGGCGTTTTCTGGGGGAAGGGCGAAGGAGTTGAGCCACTCAAAAGGCGCAGGGGCGACCAGAAAAACACACAATCATATCCTTTTTAGCTAGTTTAGATTGGTTCTATGCCTCATTTGCCCAGAGAAACCCATCTATTTTACAAAAAAGGACACCTATGGTTACACTGTTGACCCCTGATCAAGCCAGTTGTGAATCCGGGGGTCATTTTTGGGTGGGGAATTGCTTTCTTGTGAGGGTTTATTTCTCAGGGATCGACATTTGCTAGGGTCCTCCAACACTCTCTTCTGCAATTTTTTGGGTAGACGAGTTCTGTGGATGGACGGAATCCTGCACCGCTTGGGATGGATGAAGCCCTATTTTCATACTGTAAGCCACCTACCGTACTGCAGGAATTGGTCCATCCACAGTATGAAACAGAATCTGTCAATCAATTTGTTTATTTGCACCAGGATCCTCAAAATTCCTTTAAAATGGGTGATAGCCCCACAATTATGGGGTGTTATACCTTTTTTAAGGGACCAGGTGCCATCATGTACCCGAGCCGGGCCAAGACAGAAGGCCAGGGATGCCCGTTGGGCTTGGGGCTTTGCCCTGGCCGCCTTTTCGTCTTTACATCCTCCTGGGGGGGGGGGTTGGATTCCAACCAGATTCACACGCACATGGGGTAGCTACACTCCTAAATGCCCTGAGTGCGTGTGCAGACAAAACAACTCCTACATGGGGTTGTGTGGATTCAGAACCCACCATATGGGTATGTTGTGTGTGTGTGTGCCTTTTTTAGGGGACCCCCCAAAAATGGCAACGGTTTCCTTTTGATGTCCCTTAAATCAACCACAGCGGAGGTACCCTTGAACAATTCGACGCACCCATATAACCGTCCCGCCTGCCTCTTTGAATCAAGCCGAGGCCCGAAATCTGGCAGAGGCCTGGGTTTCGAACGGCGACCAAAGCACCCAGTGCGGTCCGGGCTCTGGAAATCCTTGACCAGCGCCGGGTTTCCGAGCCTTATTCCCTCAAGCGGCGCTCGGCTCCATGGAGACCACCAGTAAACTTGGTGGCTCCCGAAGGCCATCCGCTTCCTTAGCTTTTTAAATCCTTGGTGTGTTGAGTGGTTTCCATGAAGCCCACTAAAAGTTATTCGCTTTTAGCGGGGGATCTGAGGGCAGCCCAGTAAATTGATTACCTGTTGGAACTGGATATACAGTGACCCCTGTAGAAAACTAATCACTTTGAAAAGGAAATTTTGGACCCTTCTCGGAAAAGCACGGGGGTGCGCTGTTTCCCTGTTCCTTGGAAGCCTCAGCCCAAAGCGGACCTTTTGACCTGTTGGCTTTTGAGTTTTGTTCCATGTTTAGTTAAGGTTCCAAAAAGGTTACCCTTTCATGTCTGGGTCCAAACTGCGCAGCGAGAAGCCTTACCTGTTGAATTGCCAAACTTCAACATGTTTGTTGATCGGCTTATTCATCGTCAGACCCCGAATCAGTGTAGGTTGCCACTTCATTTAAAGACAATCCTTGAAAGGTAGTAAAGTGCTATCCGTGGCTGTGGAAAATTGACCGTTCTTAGGGTTGGGTTGCCACTTTAATTGATACTGAGGGAAGCTCTTTCTAAGATTATCGCGTAGCATGGTGGATGGGACTCCCCAAAAACCTTGTGTTGTTCCTTCTTGTGGCACTTTCAGGTTCGT